TAAGCGCTGGTTCAAGCGCCTTGACTAAGCACAGATAGGGGTGGTTTCCGAGAGAAAGGAAAAGAAAATAGAGGAAAATGGGAAAAATCGTAACATTACCCCCTCCTTAAGACCATCGTCCCGATGGTTAAGTTAGGGTAGACCCCCCCCCTCGGAAGGAGATGGCCGATCTGCTGGACCCGTCCGTAGGTTTCGGAGATTCATAAAGACATTGACCGGAGGTGGTCGTTCTGCTGGACCCATTCGCCGTCTTGTTGTCAATGGTATGTTGTTGTATTTCCTAGGGATAATGTTGAACATGACCACCCTGTTGTTAACCTTGTTGATTCGTTGTTCGTAGTCGTGGATTGCTGCATCGGCGTCCATGTATTCTTCGTTGACCCATTGATTTGATTCTGGTCCGTATCCCTTCCAGCTGACCAGGTAGTCAATAGTTGTTTTCATGCCTCCGCCTCGTCCTTTAACTTTTCGGATTTTATGATTTAGAACTTCATTGATTTCATAGTGTTCTTCATCGTCGATGAGTTCCGGAGGTGGAGGCGGTGGTCGTTGTTGATTTGGGCATATGGGTGCGGTGTACAGTGTTAACAATGTTTCGTTGAAAACATTATGGATTTTCGCCATTGTTGTTGCAAAATCCTGTGAAGCCGGTGTTGTTGCATGTGCTCGTCCAGGTTGCGCAACTGGTGGGTGTCGTCCATAGAATGGTGTTTTACCCGTTGCAGAGTGGATTTTATTGTTGTGTTGGAATGCAGCCAGTGCTAGCCATTCCGTCCAGTCATCTTGTCTGTAATTGATGAAAAGTCGTAGGTACTTTTCAATTTCTTGGTTGCCCCGTTCTTTTCGTCCGTCCGTCTGTGGATGGTATGCTGTGGAGGCGTTCCTCTTGATATTGAAAAGTCGGTATAAGTCGTCCAAAAATTTGGAGACGAATTGTGGTCCCTGGTCTGAAATGATAACTTGAGGTATGCCATACTTTGCATAGACTGATTGCCTTCGAGAAGCGATCGACTATGACGATGATTGCGTCATAGCCGTCACTTTCGGGAAGTCCGGTTATCATGTCTACCGAAATATGGGTCCATGGTGACGAAGGGACCTCATTTGGGTGTAAGGGGGCAGGTCTGGGTTGTGTTGAAGTCTTGCCTCGTTGACAGACCTCGCAGCTTCTGACATATCGGGTGATATCATAGTCCATTTTAGGCCACCAGTACTCTCTGAGTACTAGTTCCTTCGTTTTTGCAATTCCAGGATGGCCGGCAGTCACATGGTCGTGGCAGATGGCGATGACATCACCCCATAATTTCTGATCTCTTGGGATGTAGATTCGTTCATCATAACGGATCAATCCTCCTTCCTTCTTTAGGCCCCGCTCATGATTGAGTGATGGAGCTATCCGTTGATCCCATCTGGATGGATCACGCGTCGCACTTTTGATGCATTCATGCATCTCTTCTTCCGTGGGCATGATCATGGCGTGGAAGTGTTCTGGTTGGAGCAGAACGACTTCCTTGTTGTCGTTCTCTCCTTGGCCGTGGTCGGCTCTGCGACTAAGTAGGTCGGTTTTCTTGTTTGTCCGTCCGTCTATGACTGGGGTCGTCCAAGAATTTGGAGATGAATTGTGGTCCCCGATCCGCAACGACTACTTGGGGTATACCATACCCCTCGTAGATCTTGTCCTGTAATATTTGCCCATCCTTCGGACGTTAATTCCGTTGAGCAGGTGATCGGAATGATTGCCTTCGAGAAGCGATCGACTATGATGATTGCGTTATAGTCGTCACTTTCGGGAAGCCCGGTTGCGGAATCATTGGTTCATGGTGACGAAAGGCCCTGATTCGGGCATAAAGGTGCAGCTCTGGGTTTGGCAGGCTGCCTGTCAATCCATCGTATTCGTCGTGGACATTGCTCTTCGCTGTATGTCCCATAGTTTGTTTCGTTACAGGTGTAACATTCCCTTGTCGCCGCTTTGTCGGTTCATGTTTTTGGAGTCATTTCCATCGTCCTCTGCAACATGTCTTCTGCTGATGGGGATACCATTACTTCTAATCCCCTTCATATCTTGTTGGTTGGTTTAGTCGACCGTTCGATCGAGTGATAGGCTTTGAGAGGCAATTAATTGTCGCCCTCAGGAAGCCCAGGTTCGATCTGGTCCATTGGATCTGCATCCTTGTTCCCATGGTCCTACCATGGAAACCTTCCGTTTGGATAGGCTCTCCTTTGCCATTCCCTGTTTCGGTACTCCTGAAGCGCACTCCAATGGGGTAATGCCCTTACCCAGAGGGTGTTGGTATTACGACGAGGAGTTTGTCCTTCCTGAGTGCTTTGGACAAGTTCGTTTGTCCTTCCTGTTGTCTATAATTCTCCTGCTCCAGGCAGGAGATGGCCGATCTGCTGGACCCGTTTCATTGTTGAATCTATCCCATGCAGATTGGTGTTTTTTCAGGGGTACCGTTAATGATAACTCCTGTATCCTGTGATGTTCCTTTTGGTGATCGGATGATCGAATGATGGCCTTCGAGAAGCACTTGGTTGCTTTCGGGGAGGTGTTCACTGACAAGTCGTTTGCCATTTCGGTATCTGTTTCGTCAAGTCATGAGACCCAGTTCCCAAGATAGTTTTCTTTGTGCCTGTACTCGCCTTGAGTGTTGGGGCCGCCTCGCGACCCGTTCCATTGGGTCCTATCTTGTTAAACCATCTCGTGACTCCCCTTGACTTTTCCAAGATTAGCCTTTGATGGAGTCGGCTCTGCCCATCAGTCGAAGTTCCGATCTCCATTGGGAATCTTTTTTTGCAGAAATTCCCCGGTCCTTGGGAATCTCTTCTGGTTCGATATCTATGATGATCGAGTCATCATTTATGTTTCTTTGGTGATGAAGAGACCTCTTCCCGATTCATCTCTGATGAATTAGGTCCCCGTCGTTCACATGTTTGGTTTGATTCAGTGTGTCGAATCGTTTGTGGTTGTTAGCGCTTCAATGGGATAATTCGTCCCCTCGGAGAGTGTGCGAGAAGCGCCGACCATGTTGGTGAATGATTCACCAGTCGGAGTCAACCTTCCTGTGGGGTTAGGGCTACCCCTCCGATCCAGTCCGTCGGATCTAGGGTAGTCGAATTCTGTTCTTCGTAAATAGCTTCCTCCATCATTTCCTTCCTGTCATGGCATTCCCGTGATTTGATCCAATGGGATAATGTCGGTGCTTCGAGAGCGTGACGGAACCGCCCTCTGAATGCCTTGTTTAGAAATTCCTCGGTCCGTCGGGAATTTTGCGGAGGTCGCCCTTGGTTTTTTGGCCGATCTTGATTTTCCTAGAATCATTCGTCAGCTCAGAGGATCATACTTCCCGTCGGTTCAGACAATGTTCATCCTTTGTTTTTGAAGAGTGGGTTGTTGTATGACGTCCTTTTCATATGTCTGAAATTAGAAAGTTATTAGTATATGTCGGTTAAGTATAATGTCTTCTCTTCTGATCGGTCCTGTGTAGAAATTCCCCGGTTCCTTGGGGAATTTCCTCGTCGCGTGGTTTGGTCGATTTTTGATCCCTGATCGTCGGTCGACCCATCGTTCTGCGTTCCGTTGGTTCGAACAACGTTCGTCTTGTTTGAAGAGTGGTTCCTCGGTTCCTTGGGGATATCGTTACTGGTCGTCCAGCAGTTATGAGTTTATTAGGATTCTCGTGATCCAAATATTATAAAAAGAAAATGTTAGTTTCTTAATTTAGTCCATGGCCGAGTTCTTGTGCTCAGTCAATGCCCGACTATTTGGGCTCCTGGATCCCATGGCCGTATGCCATGGCGATCGCCTCGGCCTTTTGTCGTTTTCGTTCTTCGTATATCTCGATGGTTCGGCCCTTCCATTCGTCATATCCATCCAGGATACACTGTTCTTTGATTGTCGTGAGGTAGATGGGTGGTAGCCCCATCTTGATACATTCAACCATGTATCCTGTGTCGGTGATGTCATCCCGTACCCCAGCAAGTGTACCGAGTCGTTCCAATGTCGTGAAGTAATCGGTAGCCGTCTTTCCCGCTAGTTTGTGTTCCATCATCTGTTGTCGGTAGATGTCAGGAATGGTAACTGTTGGGGTCGGGATTTCCATGTCGGGTGCATGTGCCCATCCTTGGGCGATGCTAGTAGTTTCCGTGTATGGTGGCGGCTGTTCGGCAGGTGGCCGCGGTTCCGTCGGCAGCTTCCTTGGTCCCAGATATTGCCGAATTGCCTGTGATCGATTTTGGTCCTGCCGAGATGCCGTTCCGGATAGGGTGCAAGTGTTATGCAGGTGCTGAGATGATGCCGTTTTTGCTGTGAATGCCGATTCCGGGGGTTGAACGTTCGGCCCCCATGGCTTGGTTACTGTCCTTTTGCCATGCCTCGGCTCGTTCGGCTGTGTCGGCCCTGTCTCGTACTGCAAAAATCGTTGATTGTAGGTAAAAATGGCCCCCCCCAGGGCCACATACTGTAAACCCTCCCCCATACACTGTCTTTCTTCAGATTCAAAGGGAAGGTCCCCAACCTCCCTGATTGAATCTCCTTCCCCGTCGCCCACCTTGCCGCCTATCTCGTCGTCCTGGTCCCATATTTCCCCCTCGAGAAGAGAAATGTCGGCCAGGTCGTATGTTGTCGGTCTGGTGGTCTCGTGGTTGGGTACTTGGTCCAGCGTCCTCTGGGCCGGGGCGAGGAGAAGACTCTCGCCCAGGCTCCTGCTTGGCCTGTCCCCCTGCTGTGTCCGTCGCCACTGTTCTGCTTGATCGTAGGCGACTATCGTTGGGCCTGTCGGCGACAGCGTCGGGCTCTTCCTGTCTGGGGACGTCGTTGCTGAAGATGATGATGTCGACGGTGGATGCCCATGGGTCTGATTCGGTGCCGAAGGGGGTGGGTAATGGCAGTGGGGAGTTGATGGTACTGGTGTTGACCAAAGTGGTCGCGCTAACGCTCCCCGCTTCTCTTCTCCTCTGCTCCTGTTCCCGTGCCCGGAGATACCTGCTGAAGAGGTCATTCTCCCTGTAAATTTCCTGGTCGCTGGCGGCCTGATTAGCGAAGTCCGCGGCGAAGTTCCGAACAGGTCGTTGTACTGGCTGGTTGACCTCTGACCAGTGGTCGGCATCCCATCCTGATGCCGACACCGTGTGGTGGGATCCTCGAGCCTGAGTGCTGGTCCCGTAAGCCACCTGTGAGCCGTCCAATGAGTCTCTGGCACTGTGTCTGGTGCCGGGGATGGGGGTTGCTGTCCTTGCTGCTCGGATACTGTGTTGGACGGACGGGACGGGGGTGTGAGACCTGGGACGTCGAAATCCGGTTGCCCAAGGGTTTCCTTCGTTTCGAATGACTGCCGGCGGGGGTCGTGGGGGGTATGTGTGCTGTTGGGCCTGTTCCTCTTCTTCCATCGGGTGTTCCGAAGACGTTCTTCCTGAGATGTCCTCGGAGTCGACTCCTTCCGGCTGGTCGGGCTGTCGGGACATCGAAGGTCGAGTGGAAGGAGGGATGTGATGAAGAGGGAGGTCCGGTGTAACATTTCGTAAAATACGGCGGATGCATTGGAATTCGTGATAGTGATGGATAGACCAGGCGATAATTGATTGGTGCCCACGACAGAGCTGTACGAGCACCAATAAAACGACCAGAATTCCGATAAGAGTCACGAAGAGTATAAAGAACTCTTGAGTAAAGTTTGGGTTGGAGGGTTTAAGGATAATGGGCATGCAGTTTCTCAGCACAATTGGGCTTGAGAAAGGGATGCAAGAAAGCTCGAACTAATTGTTAGACCCAAATCCCACGTGATGCAAGAAGCACGTGAAAGACAGTCCAGTGACTCGCACCTCGGTCATGTCTTGACTGAATTCACATAAGTGCGACTAGCATTACGTGGATCAAGGCTCCCTATGGAGGAGCTCGAGATAAGATGGTAGTA